CATTAACAGAGGGGTAGAGGTGGCCCTCACTGGCTACATGGTTTAGAAGTCTACCATTAACAGAGGAGTAGAGGTGGCCCTCACTGTCTATATGGTTTAGAAGACAACCATTAACAGAGGGATAGAGGTGGCCCTCACTGTCTACATGGTTTAGAAGTCTACCATTAACAGAGGGGTAGAGGTAGCCCTCACTGTCTACATGGTTTAGAAGTCTACCATTAACAGAGGGGTAGAGGTGGCCCTCACTTTCTAAATGGTTTAGAAGTCTACCATTAACAGAGGGGTAGAGGTAGCCTTCACTGTCTACATGGTTTAGAAGTCTACCATTAACAGAGGAGTAGAGGTGGCCCTCACAGTCTACATGGTTTAGAAGTCTACCATTAACAGAGGGGTAGAGGTGGCCCTCACTGTCTACATGGTTTAGAAGTCTACCATTAACAGAGGGGTAGAGGTGGCCCTCACTGTCTACATGGTTTAGAAGTCTACCATTAACAGAGGAATAGAGGTAGCCCTCACTGTCTACATGGTTTAGAAGTCTACCATTAACAGAGGAATAGAGGTGGCCCTCACTGTCTACATGGTTTAGAAGTCTACCATTAACAGAGGGGTAGAGGTGGCCCTCACTGTCTACATGGTTTAGAAGTCTACCGTTAACAGAGGGGTAGAGGTGGCCATCACTGTCTACATGGTTTAGAAGTCTACCATTAACAGAGGGGTAGAGGTGGCCCTCACTGTCTACATGGGTTTAGAAGTCTACCATTAACAGAGGCGTAGAGGTGGCCCTCACTGTCTACATGGTTTAGAAGTCTACCATTAACAGAGGGATAGAGGTGGCCCTCACTGTCTACATGGTTTAGAAGACAACCATTAACAGAGGGATAGAAGTGGCCCTCACTGGCTACATGGTTTAGAAAACAACCATTAACAGAGGGATAGAGGTAGCCCTCACTGTCTACATGGTTCAGAAGTCAACCATTAACAGAGGGATAGAGGTGGCCCTCACTGTCTACATGGTTAAGAAGTCTACCATTAACAGAGGCGTAGAGGTGGCCCTCACTGTCTACATGGTTTAGAAGTCTACCATTAACAGAGGAATAGAGGTGGCCCTCACTGTCTACATGGTTTAGAAGTCTACCATTAACAGAGGGGTAGAGGTGGCCCTCACTGTCTACATGGTTTAGAAGTCTACCATTAACAGAGGGGTAGAGGTGGCCCTCACTGTCTACATGGTTTAGAAGTCTACCATTAACAGAGGGGTAGAGGTGGCCCTCACTGTCTACATGGTTTAGAAGTCTACCATTAACAGAGGGGTAGAGGTGGCCCTCACTGTCTACATGGTTTAGAAGTCTACCATTAACAGAGGGGTAGAGGTGGCCCTCACTGTCTACATGGTTTAGAAGTCTACCATTAACAGAGGGGTAGAGGTGGCCCTCACTGTCTACATGGTTTAGAAGTCTACCATTAACAGAGGGGTAGAGGTGGCCTCACTGTCTACATGGTTTAGAAGTCTACCATTAACAGAGGGGTAGAGGTGGCCATCACTGTCTACATGGTTTAGAGGACAACCATTAACAGAGGGATAGAGGTGGCCCTCACTGTCTATATGGTTTAGAAGACAACCATTAACAGAGGGGTAGAGGTGGCCCTCACTGTCTACATGGTTTAGAAGACAACCATTAACAGAGGGATAGAAGTGGCCCTCACTGTCTACATGGTTTAGAAGACAACCATTAACAGAGGGATAGAAGTGGCCCTCACTGTCTACATGGTTTAGAAGTCTACCATTAACAGAGGGATAGAGGTGGCCCTCACTGGCTACATGGTTTAGAAAACAATCATTAACAGAGGAATAGAGGTAGCCCTCACTGTCTACATGGTTTAGAAGTCAACCATTAACAGAGGGATAGAGGTGGCCCTCACTGTCTACATGGTTAAGAAGTCTACCATTAACAGAGGCGTAGAGGTGGCCCTCACCTCTACATGGTTTAGAAGTCTACCATTAACAGAGGGATAGAGGTGGCCCTCACTGTCTACATGGTTTAGAAGTCTACCATTAACAGAGGGATAGAGGTGGCCCTCACTGTCTACATGGTTTAGAAGACAACCATTAACAGAGGGATAGAAGTGGCCCTCACTGGCTACATGGTTTAGAAAACAACCATTAACAGAGGAATAGAGGTAGCCCTCACTGTCTACATGGTTTAGAAGTCAACCATTAACAGAGGCGTAGAGGTGGCCCTCACTGTCTATATGGTTTAGAAGACAACCATTAACAGAGGAGTAGAGGTGGCCCTCACTGTCTACATGTTTTAGAAGTCAACCATTAACAGAGGAGTAGAGGTGGCCCTCACTGTCTACATGGTTTAGAAGACAACCATTAACAGAGAAATA